TGAGATGGGAGGAATGCAGACTAGTTTAACCAGTCAGATAATAAGACTGTTATAAAGGTATGTAACGTCACACTAATTGTGTTTAAATAGTAAGATAAACACCATCGATCACTGGCCCTTCTTCTTACTCTTGAGTTACAAGACAGAGATAGTGCTCAGACCTGTCCTTTATTTGTCATGTACTTCGTAATCTGAATTAGGGTTTGAATTGGTACGCAAGATCTTCTAACAGCGACCTTGTCCTCCAAACGCAGGATTTGACCTAAAAACGACGCATTCCTGTGCTAATACGTAAATTGATCGAGTTGTGTCCAGAAAAGAGGAAGAAAAATGTTGGATGGCTTTTTAAAAGTATGTCCCCAAGACACTGAGTGTTTTCTATGTTTTTCTAGTTAAACATCTATACAGCTTAAAACTTTCTATTACTTTCATTTATTTGCACCAAAATTCAAGTCAGACATTCCAGTGTAATCAACAAACAGTTAAAAGACAATCACTACATTATGTTGTTAGAAGTTAATTATTATGAATATTGAACATAGACTAATAATAATTGCCACAGTACTGTGGTTGTCTGGTATAAAAATCAATATAGTCGTATGATAGCTCAAACTATTCAATGTGCTGTTGTTCTATTTCAAGAATTGGTTTCAGTTTATGAATATTTATATTTAGATAGACAAAAGTGAAAGCGTTAGAAACCCTAATTCAAATTGAAAAGAAAACCAGTTATCATTCTGAATTTTTGAACATACCATTTCTGACAGGTCTTACACGTGCGGTGCATTTATTCACCATCTTTAACAACAATGTTTCTCCTATTCACAACTAGCATAATGCGAAGCTTGTAGTCTCTGCTGCTCTATCTGCCATCGTATTGTGATAATTGTGCTATATCTATCTGAAGATCGTCTGTATCACATTCTTTTCTGTTGTTATTGATGCTGTAAGTTTGCATTTCAAATGACCCTGAATCCTTATAAACTATAGGAACTTAATAAATTGTATGTCTGTGTATGTATGAAATGTGGATCAATCTGTTACACGCCCATAATATCCGTCTCCCAAATATAACACACAAAGAAAAGCTACTGAGGTTGTCCTGAGGTAAAAGAGGGAGATGATATTCCACCTTTAGAAGTACAACAGTCGATATTATATAATGACATATCATTATAACTTCTCTATAAGTAGGTTGTTGTTGAAAACAGGTTCAGTTGTTTATTTATGACTCATCATTTTATACAGGTTCTGTAACATCCTGTTCTGTATCAAAGGTTAATGTGACTAATTCCAATTCCAGAATTAACAACAATCAATATTAGGTGGCGATATATCATTAATATATTAATTGGTACGATGTTGATGGAAATAGGAAGTAGAAAGTGTTTGTTGTGGAAATATATCAGAATGGAAAACATTACAGTATTCTAAATCTAAATTGACCAATCTGTACTTTCGAATATTCAATTGTATTTAAGCAATTTTCTATTTGCATAATATATGAATACACTCCATAGAATGTTGACCTTACTTATCACTCGTGCGGATATCTTTATCTGTCTACTCTTTCAGTTCAACTGTACTTAAAAAATGATTACAAGAACAACAATTTTTGGTAAAACACAGTAGCGGTAAATACATTCCCTTCCCGCTTGCAATGTTCGAAGTCATATTCGTACTGATGTGTATGCATACAAATGATGTCGTCAACAACTTAGAATTGTTGCCAAATTGAACTTCTTTGGAAAACAAGTTTCTAGGTTGAGCATGTATGTACTATGAGAGTTAATTAACAAGACATAAAACTCCATGCAATTCTTCTGTTAAATTACTGCAGGACATTCCAGCGTAAAATATCTTCTTAAGGGGTCACCTCAGGTCAAGCAGGATGAATGAAACGTCTAGAATGTTTTCAGTCAAGCGAATCTTATATATTAACCGGCATAGTAGAATGTTCTTTGGCGTGTAAGTAGCTATACACTAAACCTGAATATAGAAAAAAATAGGTCATTGTACTACAACCGGGTCAATAATACTATAGCAATCTTTTTCTTACTGAGTACAGATAAGTCAGCTATAGGTTAAATGTACCAAGCGGCGTACTGCGTAGCTTTCAAGACGTTAGAGTAAAAATAAAAGATTTTTTTTTACAAAAATACAGCATCTACTTTGTCCATTTTCTCCTCTCGTAGATTTGAAATTATATGAATTTGGGTCGGTCCATTGTCCAAATAGAGCAGACGAAAGAGTCAAGTGAAAATAAAGTAAACACGATGGTGTATGGCTCACCAACATGCTCCTAGGAATGTGAGAAAAGAAATAAGTCAGAGTTGATAAGTTTTCATAGACTATGGGCACTATGTAAAAACAAACGATCAATGTAACAACGTAATAATATTGATGAAGGACGATATAGAAATAGATGTTCTCTCTTACCACTTATAGAACGATGTCTGCAAATTTCGACGATACGTTACAAAATGTCTGAGTTTATCGATCTGTATCACATTGTTTTTGATGTATTGAATCGCAATTTTAGCAATTTCTACTCAATTACCAGACAGTACAAACAGAGTACACACATACATATATATATAGATATTTATTTGGCTTTTTTTCAAGTCACCGATTAGCACAAAAAGTGACAAAGTGAGCCAATATGTTATCAATAATACTAGGCTACAGTTCAGGTATTCAGGCCTGGTTATGGTTATTATTCGATAATCAATCTAAAATATAGTTTGATATTGGTACGTAACATAAACTGAGAACTAGATTAGGCTGTCCTAGATTGTCATGTATACAGTCCGAATTAATTTACTAACAACACAGCGGTTAGCGACCTGTCTGATATATTTATTGATCCAATTTAAGACAGTTAATGAGAGTTCATACGTTAGTGTCCAAAAGTCGATTAAGTCTTTTATCCGGCTTACTTTAATCTCTCTATTGCTGTTTGAAACGAGTTCAGTTTGGGTGGTTGATTTAGGTTTTGTATATATGTAAATAGCCCCCAGAAGAACTAGAAATGCACGAAAATCGCACAATTACTACAAAAAGATTCCAAACTAGAAATGTGTAGACTTGGAAACTAAAACAATATTAAAAAAACACGTTCACCATTCGTTTGACCAATCTAACCTTTGTCTCAGAAAGAATTTTTTTTCAGTTAAACTAATCAGTAATAGTGTTCACAGCTCATCGTCCAAATTTGAGCCTTCAAATCCATCTGTGTCAAAAATAATCGTCTTTTCTTGAGACAGAAGTGAAATTTCTAGTTAATAGTATTTTTGAAAAGGAGTATGCCATTTTCGTGCAGTATTAGTACTTTTGAAAAACATACATAATAACATACATAATAACATACATTCAAAACCCAAATCAATCCCCGAAAATGTCGAACAGTGCCTTTAATAATTATAACCAGGAGTTTATTAATTACATGTACTTGAAAACCCAGTGAAATACTTCACCTACCTGCCCGTAGAGATAACTATTTTTCATACAATGATCATACTGGTGATGATACTGTGACTCAAAAGTGGACAATGGCTAGATAATCTGAGTTGTGTAGTCAGCACGATTCAACATTGCGCCTTTTCCTAACCTGTTTCTATTGCCTGTTCTGCTCCTGGTATTACGTTTAAAAACCTCGGTGGATCTAAGGTTTTGCGATGACTCCTATGGTGTGTGGTTAACCATCCGAACATTCTTGTTTAGCCATTAGAAATCCTCACATATGAATTCGTCATTTGGCTGATAATTAAACAACTAAAACAATGCAAATGATAGTTACCTAACCTAAAGCCTAATTCTGACTTGAACAGCGCACCTACTGTACGAAAAGTAACTATTTTGGGTCATATTTCATTCAAATATTATAGTGAAAGTGAGGCTAAACCTGTTCTGGGTGCTTGTCATGTTGCTCTGGATCTGTTGGTAAAGAATGGATGAATATGTCATACGATTGCACACTCTACTTTGAATTGACGGTCAAATATTGAAATATTAATTTCTGTTGATCTCCGGAAACATGGACTTCTTTATAAGACGAGAACTGATCCCATTTCGCCAGTGGGAAGACAGTTTTAATCCCTGATAAAAAATTTAATCTTTATTACTAGGATTAATAACCAATAAATCTCTCTGTTGACCGAATATTTACTTAGTGTCATGTAGGTCCTTCATATATATAACACATGTGACAACATGATTGGGAAATTTATTTTTATTAGCCCAGTCACTCATGATGGAAAATTTGTCTTTACAAGGAATGGCTAGAACACATTCATATGTTGTTGAACCTTGATTGTAGGTTATACTCTTTCTTTTTTTCAGACGTAATGTGGAAGAATGAACTGCATGAGGCTAATAATATAACGATCGATTCTACGGTTTGGCTATGAGTTAAATCAGAAATTCCTTCTCAGACCAGAATTCATTGGCTAAATGGATCCTCAATTCGCTTTACTTTCCTCGAGTATAATAATTCAAGTACCTTGACGTATCGTTCAGTTTTCAACCAACTTCGAAAGTTTATCCCCCTAACAAACCTATTCCTGGTGAAAACAGATAACACGACTAGGAGTCATTGTAATGTTGTTATCGCCGAAATTGGGTTTATACACATTGATAGAAAATCGGACGTTTTTGTTTCTTGAATAAAATAGTATTCTTCTTTGCATCAAATTTGAGGGGCTTTTCATCCGCTTCATGGGCTTTATGTTTTACATGGTGTTAAACAATCTTATATTTGTAACACAACAAATTATTGTGTACTAAAAGTTCTGTATTTTGTATACAGAATCAACAATTTTGATCTCGTGGACCAAGGTCCTGTTAGATGATCATAATTATATCGTCAAGGTTCGACTTTTTAAAATTGATCTCTGATCTCAATGTCTGAAACTAGCTATCTTTTCTCAATCATAGGCCATAGTCCTCTAGTTACTTGGTAACTCCTTTGTTTCAAGTCGATTCAAGGGAGGTAAGAGTATAAATTGCATTTATTTAATATCAAATAAACAACTCATTATAATTCAGAAATGTGCCGACTCGTTTAGACCTGATTGCTTAGTATTTCTAGTTACAATATTGTGAACCTTAACGAGTTAGTAATAATAATAATAACACAAACTATTGATCAGTTCACTAAGAATTGCAATTTGAAAAAGTTTTCTCATCGTATCATTTTCGGAACGAAGAGTCCAGTGCAGTGTCAGATTGATTTGTAACTGAATAACAACCGTCAACGGAGGTGACGACAATCCACATATAAGCTGGATCATCATGCCTTCATTTGCATTGACAATTTGGCATCAATCAAATCATTATAATTATGAAAAGTGCTACCTCTTGCAGATATTTATTTTACTACATCTTAATATAGTATTTGAATTATGCATGCATTGAAATTTATATGTAAATCTTAATATATTTTAAAGATTGTACATTTAATTATACATCACGTTAATACACCAGAACAATCAAATGGACTCAAAATCAAAAGAAACTGCTAATTCCAGATGAGATTGTTTCCTTAATATCAAATCCGTCCTTGTCTTTCGTGTCTGATGACTCTGTGGCATCTGTTGTAGTTTTGGTATCAGGTTTGGTCTCGCTGGTATTCTTATCACCAGATCCCGTAAAAGATTGGAGCGCTCCTGAAGCCTTTTCCTTCACCTACAAATACAAGAAACCTTTTTAAAGCTTCAATGCTATCTTCAATAGTTTTGAGTAGATCTGTAAGTTGCCGAAAATCTCCAACTATTGCTGCCACAAGCCGCCGCCGGTCTGCTTTTTAAACATTCCAGCCAGTCGTCGGCGTTTTTATTATAAAGGCTAAACGAAGTTCACTTGAAAGCTCTGAATATGAACAAGATCGTCTTTATTCACGACAAATATTTGTAATTTTTTTGCTGGGTAAGTTAAAGTGCAGTCCAGATATATTCAGCTAAAGACTCTTTAAAAATTGTATTTCTTAGAACCTAATTACTTTTCAAACTGCGCATCCAAGTCTTGTAACTTGGTGCATTTTGGTTAGAAGCATGGACATGTGTAATAAAAGTGAGAAACACATTTTGAAATTAATATTGTTGTCTGTATTTCTAGAATTTTGAATCTCATTTAAGACCAACTTCCCACTTGTCTTGTAGTTGTATTTGACTTGATCTGGATTAAAATGTTGAATTTCAGCATTGAAATTTTGAGATGATAAATTCCTTTGCAACCAATTTAGCAATTTGCACTAGAAGATTACGATTCTTGGTTGTGGAACCGGTCAGTCTTATTCGGAGAGAATCATTCAACGTCTAGTATTAGTGGTGCGAAAGGTGTTTTTTGCTCAAAGCTGCGGATAGCCAGCCTATGTTATGTCAAGCCAGCCACAACCACCAAAGGTGTTGGCTTAGCTGTAGCCAGTTGATATACCCCCCTCCCCCCACTCCCTGGCAAGCTGGCTTGTTCACGGGTCTAGTTTTAAGACTACATGGACTCACTCCACTAAAACATTTCATGCAAATGATTGTGCATGCCTATTTTTGAGTAATTTTTGGTCTAGATTTGCAATTTGATTGCAATTGTAATTGCATTATCTTTAAGAATTGGCGAGATAATGAGAGACTTCAAGACGGAAGGATAATTCTAAAAAAGTCGTTTTGTGAAGTGCCAAACTCTAGCGGTTATGTATAACCTGTAGTAGTCTACTTTCCATTTGACTAGCTCAAAATTTTCAAGGTCATCGTTTTATATTGAATTTTTTAGGAGACATTAAGGATTGGTCAGGCTTTCATTCGACATATTGGAAAGCTTTCAACAAGATTTCTTGAAAAAGTTGTAGCTGGTTGAGTTTCGTGTTTTAACATGGGAAGAGAAGGCAAATGAATTAGTGGAGTGAGTCTAATGTATTCCAAAATACTATAATACGGGAGACAACTCCAAAATTGGTTTAGGAACTAAGTACGATTAGGACTATCGCTCCTCTGGCACGGCAATAATCATCGTGGTACGTGGATGTTAAAACTGAACAACATTCTCCTGAATTAACATCATGGATATACTATTCATAATCATACTTTACTTACTTCTTCAACAATTTCTCCGACCTTTTCCTTCGCACCATCAGAGATTTGACCAAAAGTGTTGTCCAAAAAGGAAGATTGACCACTTGCTTCCTCTTGAACAGCTTCTCCACTTGCCTTCGCCTTCTCGCCTATATCGGAGCTGGCTTCCTTTGCTCTGTGATCTATTCCTGACATGGCTGCATTGGCATTCTGATCAATAGTGGAAACGGTATCCTTGGCGGTTTTATCAAGTGCGGTACCAGCATCCTTGGAAGTTTGGTCTATTGCATTTGCGTTATCTGTTGCTGCTTGGTCTATTGTCTTTCCAGTTTCATGCAAAGACTCACTTGTTTCGTCAGCCTTCTTATCGACATCATCTAATGCACCCATCACCGAATTCCCCACTGAAACAAATATTGATGTAGTATTAGTTACGTCTCTGAATTATTTAGTTATTATTTAGCAATTAAATATTGTTCTCGATGAATTTTTTACTAATTAAGAAAAGGGTTTCTGTTTTACCTTTCATGGAAATTTATTTGTTTAGTGTTATTTCTAGTCCCGGCGGTAAAGTGCTAGGATGTTTGCTGAATGTAATAACAATTTGTATACCTAATTGGAAACCAAATGCTGTACATATTTTATCAATATTGTGAAGGCCTTGCTCAAAACGCAATCGCTTTTATTTCCACAGAATTTGATCTATTCCTTGGAAACTTTTTTCCAACAAGGAACCTTTTATGATAAGCCTTATTGAAAAGATTAATTATGTTTTATTGTTGGATAAGTTATTGTATAAGACGTTTTCAAGGGAACTATTTAACATTATTTCTCTTCTGCTACCTACTTCTTATGTACCGATGAAGAAAAGTTATATTTAAATGCCCAGAGTAAGCTATAACTTGAAATGCGCACTATGGTGAAAGTCGGGAATGAATACAACATTAAAGGGATTGTAAAGTGGGTTCCTAATTGTTTGTTTGTATAGGGGACACTGATAGCAGCGATCTGCGGTTCTTGCATAATTTTTTATTTAATTTTTTTTATAGAAAACGTCTTTACAATCTCTTTAAGTACTAGAACAAACAAGCATATAGCTGTCCAGAGTACTGTGCGTTTGTATGACTGCCTTATGGTAAATTTGAGCGATTGTAATAAGTCCTTCTTGAGGTTGTAATCTTGTTGTATTTATTTTCTTTCCCATAATGATTGTAGACAGGTTAAAATATACAACACTTCTTTATTTCCATTCACTAACTTGGAGTCTATACTAAATCAAAGTTCCGACGTGATTCCTTACCAAGCCAAAGAATGAATCCCCAAAAACATTTACATATTTATACTCCACGGCAGATGGTCGCCTCATTAAGGAAACATTTGAATAACTTCTTTGGGTAAAAACAATAGATAATACCTTCCCTCCCTTTACTTAACGAGATAATTACTTACGGGGTGACATCTCCGACTTAGTAAAGACTCATTAATTAAAGCATCACTTATCACCAAAACAATCGACACATATGATGATATACCGATCATTACTTATTACCAAAACAATATAAACACATATGATGATATACCGATCATCACTTGTTACAAAACAATAGACACATATGATGATATACCGATCATCACTTATTGATATACGCGATATTATTATCATTACAGGGTGTTCGTTTCCAGTACGTATTAAAAGTAAAGGGCCTTGTTTGTTTTTTTTTTGTGTGTTTAAGTAGTATTTTTAACGCCGTCATTTTTAAAGTCGATCTGTGTACTTTTTACTAACACGTGCCATCTTAACCCCTGACAACTTAAAGAAACCAGTTTGTCGTCAAAGAAATATAAACAAATCTTACCTGATTTCGTTAAATTTCCAAAATTCATTTTAATTGGCTTGCTGTTTCTATTAAGTCTGTAAAATGAATAAGAGTGGAAGAAAGGAAAAGGTGTGTCGTTGTAGAATGATTCAATGTTGACAAACTAAAAATAAAACTTTAAACAACTTTTATAAATTTGAAGGTGGAATGTCATTAACTAAATACTGCGACGTAGTCTATGACTAATCTCGAATTACCAGTATGCAGGTTTTTTTCCTAAATGTTATTGCAGTCGGCAGAAAAGGGCATAGATGGAATCCATGAAAAGCGTTCTTCTTCATATAAACAGTGTATTTGCTGACAAACTCTTATACTAGATTTCTACTTTCGTTTTGTGGTTCGGATTGTTGGTACTTGTGTTTATTTTGTATTTACGGTAACGAGATCGATGATGGTCAAGAGCGGCAAATCGACAACAGAACTTCAGAATGCCAATGGCACTATCGTCTCTATTATGCAAAAACTGTTGTTACATTTCCATGACATATATATAAGCTGTATGATTATACATGTACATTGATCCGAGGAAACTAATAAAGGCCTGCAGCCATTCTTTAACAAAAGAAGCCATTCAGCTATTGGATCTAAGTTTCGGTTCGAAATATTCAGTATGCGACATTCTTCCTTTAATACATAAAAGGTGTACTAACTTAGCTAGAAATTGGGTCGCCTAACATCTGTAATTCATTCAAAACAAGTTTCTGATTTACTGTACAACGACATTGCCCTGGCAATTTCGTTTGGTTTAACAATTAAATTACTAGCCGCTGGTGTACCTTTCTACCGCCAAGTCAATTATTACTATGGGGCAATGTGGATATGAAGGAATTGTACATCCTAAAGACAGTCTGCAAATATGGAAGAGCAGTAATATATCGAATTTCTCTATTAACTTTCGAAAGCGGGTAATATCCCTAGAGAAGGAAAATATCCGCCATATTTAATATCGATGACTATGGTTTTCAGGCATTTTGGACAACAATCATACATGATGTGAACCATACGGAATGCGTGTTTATGACCTTAACCCGGCATTGGGTGCATTTCCAGCTGTCTTGTAGTCTTCAATTCGTTTATATATACATTTTAAAGCTGCTTTTGGCAGATTTTTTTTATGCAATTCCAAACTATAATACTGTATATTCCTAGTTCGCAGTCTGGGTTTCTTTCCACCCCCAGAGGTAGACTAACTATTGTAGGAGAAGAATTATAGGGTTTCAGGATTTCTGGTGCCCTTCAACACGACGAACCCAAGCGAACCTTGACATTTTAGTCATTAAATCTAAAGCTAGACTCGATGCGTCGGATGATATGCGTAGGATTTGTCGACACTGTTCCTATATTTGGACTATTGGTGCAAGGAAAACAACAAAGCCTTCCTACTGTGCATCTAACTGCTTATTTGATTAGTATATTATCATATGAATGATTATTATATATAAAAATTCACAAAATTTACAATATTTTGATTGTTTTTTATGCCCACATGGAAATGTGGACGTATATTGCCATCGCATATTGCCGTCGGTCCGTCGGTCACTTCGCTCACCTTTTTTTTAGGCGCGATAGAGGTTATAATTTTTATCCGATCTTGATGAAACTTATATTATTATATATATATTGATGAGATCTCGATCAAGTTCGAAATTGGTAATAATCAGATGAACATTTTCAGAGTTATTGCCCTTGGCTTTTTAAAAATGCGTCAAATTTGGTTTGTGAGCACGATAGAGACTACAGTTTGTATCTGATCTTGATGGAACTTGATATGCATGCATATATTGATGAGATCTCAGTCAATTTCGAAATTAGTATTAATCGGATGAACTGCTTCAGAGTTATTGCCCCCGACTTGGTAAAACGCGTCAAATTTGCCTTCTAGGCCCGATAGAGACTTATGTGTACAGCGCCGAGACATTGTTCATGTTTGAAGTTGATGATTGAACTGTTTCAGGTTTTTGCCTTGACTTATAGAAGATTTTAAGATTATTTGAAAATTAATCAATAAGCCACTAAAGATCTTATTATTTCTGACAGCTGGAAGTGGGCGTATGTTACCTTGCCTGGCAAGCTATTTTTGAGGTATTGTTCTTTTCTTTCGAAGTGCGTTCAGTCTGTAGCTTGTAAATACAGTGGAGCCGCGTTTATCCGGTTGCCGATAATCCGGAAACCACGATATCCGCACGCTTTTATCTAGGAACGGAATATTTACTATGTAAAATTACACGTTAATTCGGTGCTCCGGTTTCCGGTTCCGCACGGCACCACTGTACTCGAGAATGCACAATTCTTAACGATTTGGACGAAATTTGTGAAATTGATTATTATCACCGAACGATGAACTCTATCACAATATAACTTGTTCTATAAACAGTAAACACTGTAGAAGGCACAGTTATTGATAAATTTAGATGAATTTAGATAAATTTAGATAAAACTTCATAATAATCAAGTAGGAACCTCATTAAAAGTGTTGAAAAATATTTAATCAGTTATTTTCTTTGTTTTTTGAAAAGAGCTCTATTTCAAACTTGAACACACTCTTACAGTTTGTGGCAGATTTGGACGGAATTATTAATTTTAACAAATCCAAAAACGATACTTGAATTGCTTGTTTTCAGATGTCAGAAAAGATACAAATTTTAATATTATAGTGTTTGACTGTAGTATATAGTCGAGGTCAGTAATATTGATAGTGTTTGATTGTAATAATATGTAGTCGAGGCAAGTAATGGTACAGACATAGGTAGTGTTTAACTGTAGTATTTAGTAAAGGTTAGTCATGATACAGATATTGATACTGTTAGATTGTAATAATATCTAGTGTAGGTCAGTAATAATACAGATATTGATACTGTTTGACTTTAGTATGTAGTATATGTCACGATGATACAGATATTGGTAGTGTTTGACTGTAGTATGTAGTAGAGGCCAGTAATAGTAATGATACAGATATTGATAGTGTTTGAATGTAGTACGTAGTCGAGGTCAGTAATAATACAGATATAGCTAGTGTTTAACTGTAGTATGTAGTAGAGGTAAAAATTCTACAGATATTGATAGTGTTTGATTGTAATAATATGTAGTCTAGGTCAGTCATAATACAGATATTGATAGTGTTTGACTTTGGTATGTAGTACAGTCAAGTAATTTAATTTCGTGGAAACCTATTATTCGTGGATTTCCGGAAAGGATTAATAATTTACATGAGCGACCTTACGCGACCTCCGCATTAGTTTGTTTTGATAAACATGGGTTTTCTCTACAATATCAGCTAGTAGAATGAATCTAGTAGTTTCAAGCAAGGTAAAATGTATTAATGTATACTTTGACAAATACAAAATGGCGGATTTCAGTTATTACCAAACGTCACCATTTTTTATCGGCCGAATTTCCTTATAATCCCAAGCGGTAATCGGAATTCCAAGTGTCGTCTGCTAGAATGTAGTCCAACGAATGAAGTCACGTGATCAACTAGCGGATTCCGTGTCAGCAGAAAATTTCTATGGAACACAAAGTGGACCATATTCTTATGTTGTTTCAGTGACTTTTAGCAATAAATCACGCTACGTATCTTATTTTGTCAGTCACTTTTTTTTTAAATCGTGGTTCTTTGAAGGAATTGTCACTAGTTATAATGAATTGATATTAAAGATAAATACTAAGAGAAGTTAATTATACTACCCGGTATCCGTATAACGTGTTTTTCTAGACTTATTTATAGATCAAACATTGTACACGAAAATCTGTGACGCATTCTGCCGCCGTTGCCGAGTTGGTCGCTCATGAAATATGGGTCGAGT